TTTTTTAAAGATTTTTATTGGGGAATTGGGGGGATGGGAACAGTGCTGGGGAATTGGGGGAAGGGGAACAGACAAGTTGCTGTCCTTTTGTTCTTCAATCTAGTTGTGGAGGATGTTGCTTCACTGGCCCAAGTTGGCACCATCATTGCGCTCTTCTCTGGCGAGGCAGATCAGTCGCCGGCTTCTGGACGGCTGCTCACTGCGGCTGCTGGCCGCTCACGCTGGCTGCTGGCCACACATGGTAGCCCATGGCAATCCACTGCCACAGGGACTGCAGCCCACGCCGTCGCCGGCGACTCAGGGCAGCCCAGCTCCAGGTTGAGCTGTTGTTCAGCATCTTAGCTGTGGAGGGCAGTGTCACTGGCCCTCATATGTGGGATCCGAACCGGGGCCCTCTGGCATCCCAAGCGAGTTCTTAACCATCGCGCCACTCGGCCGGCCCCTTATTCACCTATTGAAGGACATTTTGGTTGCTTCCGGCGTTTAGTGGTTATGAATAAAGCTGCTATAAATGTTTGCATGCAAATTTTTATATGTACATAAGTTTTTTTGGATTTTTTTTGTATGAAAGTTTTTAAATCAGTTGGGGAAATACTGAGGAGAATGATTGTGGGATTGTATGGTAAAACTGTCTTCCAAAGGACTGCACCATTTTGCATTTCTACCAGCAATGCATGAGAGTTCCTGTTGTTCTGCGTCCTAACTAGCATTTGGTGTTGTCACTTTTTAAAAAAATTTTAGCCATTCTAATAGGTGTTTAGTGGTATATTATAGTTGTTTTAATTTGCAATTCCACAATGACAAATAATGTTGAGCATCTTTGCATATTTTATTGTTGATTTTTAAAAGTTCTTTGTATATTTTGGATAGAAGTTGTGTATCGGATACATATTTTACAAATATTTTCTCCCAATCTGTGGTTTGTCTTTTCATTCTCACAATAGTACCTTTCACAGAGCAGAAGTTTTTCATTTTAAAAATGTCTAACTTAATATTTTCTTTCATGGATTGTGCTTCCCCCCCCCCAACAGATGTGGAGTTTATATGGCTGTAGATATAACAATAGCTAAGACATATAGTGCATGGATTGTGCTTTTGATGTATTCAATAACTCATTGTCAAATTGAAGATCACATAGCTTTTTTTCTGTTTCCTTCTAAAAATTTTATAATATTTCATTTTATATTTGGTCCTATGATCCATTTTGAGTAAATTTTTTATAAAAGGTATAATGTCTATGTCCAGATTTTGTGTTTTTTTGCATCTAGATTCTTTTTTTTTTTTTTTTGCATATGGATGTCTAATTGTTGCAGGACCATTTGTTAATTAGAGTATCTCCATTAATTGTCTTTGCTACTCTGTCAAAGTTCAGTTGAACATCCGTAGAAGGTTTTTATTGAGAGTGCATTGAATCTATAGCTGAAGTGTCCTAACAATGGTGACTCTTCCATCTATCAACATGGAATATCTTTCTATTTATTTAAATCTTTGATATCTTTCATCAGTTTTATAGATTTTACATGCAGATACTGTATATATTTTGTTAGATTTATACTTAAATATTTTACTTTTTGGGGTGTGATAAATGATATTGTGTTTTAAATTTCTAATTCCAATTGTTCATTGCTGGTACATAGGAGAGCAATTAGCCTTTGTGTATTAACCTTGTAACCTTGTAACCTTTCTGTAATTACTTATTAGTTCCAGGAGTTTTTTGTTGATTGTTTTTGGATTTTCTACGTAGACAATCACATTGTTTGTGAACAAAGACTGTTTTATTTTTTTCTTTCCCAATATATCTTTTATTTCTGCTCTCTACAGCTAAGATGGTGAACAACAGCTTGGCCTGGAGCTGGGCTGCTGTGAGTCACCGGCGATGGCGTAGGCTGTAGCGGGGCTGCAGTGGGCTGCCATAAGCTACCGTGAGTGGCTGGCAGCCAGCGTGAGCGGCCGTGAGTGGCCGTCCAATGGCCTGCAATTTATCTGCCTCACCCGGGAAGAGCACAATGATCACAATACCAACATGGGCCAGTGAAGCAACGTCCTCCACAACTAGACTGAAGAACAAAAGGACAGCAACTTGTCTGTTCCCCTTCCCCTAATTCCCAAGCGCTGTTCCCTCCCCTAGCTCCCCAATAAAATCTTTTAAAAAATATATTAATATCCTGTAGGTCATTCAATTTCTAACAGCTTCTCTGAGGAAATAATCAGGGATGTTTAAAAAGATTTCTGTGACTAATTCTCATTGGATGACATTTTATAATACTGAAAAATTGACTGATAACCTGTAAAATGGAATACAATCCAGTCATAAATATGAGTATTCTCAAATAATTCTTAAGCATATGGAAAAATATTTATGATACAATATGTTTTCCAATAAGCCATAAGCTCCGTGAGGTCTGGAACCATGAATATTATATTCCTAATCTATTCAACAGGTAGCACAGTCCCAACATATAAATATTTGTTGATGTGGAAGTAAAAAGCATGTATTAAACATTATGTATAGGATGATAACAATTTTAAGTTCGAAAAAATGAATGAGGGGACACAAAAAAATCAGAAGTACATACAGCAGTATGTTAACAGATTTTCTTTCGGATGCAATTCTGAAGTAATTTTCTTTGTACTCTTCTGTATTTTTCAATTTTTCTGTAACGTACACATGTTCGTTTTATAATGAGAAAATTTACTTTCTTGTCTATTCCAACTATATGTTGGTGCTGAGTGAGTGAACACGAGGGTGTAGTCAGTGGGAGGCAGGGTTCATGAATGAGTATTTCTTGGAGCACATAGACTGTTGAATTGAGCATTAAACACGGTGATGGACATCGTCCATTCCAACCAGAGACCCGGACAGGAGTCTGAACCCAATAATTATCCTGGAATGTGCAAAGGCCTCTCCCTGGGTAGGAGCCCACCCCTCTGCTGTTTGTCCAGACCACCTTCGTCTGTCTTCTCTGAGCAACTGCTTCTAGTTCTTAGGTTCCCTGTTGCTTGGCTCGGCCCCTCAGTTCTCATACCCACCTCAGGCCCCTTTGCTCTGACATCCCCTGTGGACAAATGGCTTGGACTCTGGTCCTCAGCACTCTTTCTCCCTTGGTTCTGATTTACCATATTTCCCCATGTATAAGATGCACCCTTTTTCAAAAACTTTGGGGTCTAAAAACTGGGTGCGTCTTGTACAGTGGTTGTATGAGCACAAAAACAAGCGCGAAAAAAGCGGGAAATGCAAGTAAAAAAATCTACAGGGCCGGCCGAGTGGTGCATTGGTTAAGAGCTGGCTTGGGGGCTGGCCGAGTGGCGCGATGGTTAAGAACTGGCTTGGGACGCCAGAGGGCCCCGGTTCGGATCCCACATATGAGGGCCAGTGACACTGCCCT